CTTATGTTAGGCTCATGAAAACAGATGAACATCGGAAACACATTGAAGGATAAACAGTTTTTAAGAAAATTCAAATCCAACTCAGCTTTGCTTACTTCGATAGAAGTATTCTCAAAACTTCGCATATTTACAAGCACCTGCAATCATCAAGGGCCTGTCTTGACTCTTGTGATACTGAATGTTTCACGATCTTAGATTCTGCCGCTTCAAAATACCAAATTAAGATCAAAGAGGCATTGCATATTAAGTGGGAAAAACCCATCCTTAATCAGCAATTGAAACACCTAGAATTGTCTCTTTCCTTTTAATTATGTTGTTCCTTGGTCTTTTAATTTATTTTTATTATTATTATATTTATTTATTTATTTATTTATTTTTTGATCTGGTCAAGCGCGCGCTGTTTACATTTTTTCGCGTTTTTACATTCAAATGTAACGTAAGCCCTGACACGTAGTTTGTAACGTAACTTAATTTAAATTCAAATGTACAACAGTTAAATGCTCATTTGCAACTGAAGATAACATGAGAATGTCGAAACATGTCTTGTAAATTTAAATTCAAAGTTGTTGTTTCTTTTTTGAGAATTTCGTTATTTCCATTAATCAGACACATGATTTCGTTCAGAGAGGACGCTGAGTAAAACTACATTTAAGCGAAGTGAAAGTGAAGTCAAGCAAACTATCTTGGGCATCATAGTCTACGTTGTTGCTGATCCTTTTTGTTGTTGTTTTTAGCGTTTAACATTTTTCATACGGGAAGCTATAAAGACAACTGTTTTTCAAGCGTTGAGAAGCTGTTGAAAGCATTCCACCAAGAGCTAACTGCGAGAGATAAGGAGGTAACTATAGAATACTTCACAGGCTCTGATCCCTTGTTGTTATTTTCAGAATCAGTGAGCTGAAAGCTTAAACGAGAGGTATGTTCCAGAAAAATTGGATTTTGTCTCGGCCATTTAAGAGTGCGTTCAAGAACTCGCTGCCCACTATACAGAGTAACTGAAAGATTCAAAATGGTGGCATTCTCAGAAAATTTTAATTTCGAACGGTTACGTTTAGGAGTCAAACTTTTGAATGTACTTTTATGAGTCATGGCGAGATAAAAATGATATGTTGTCCGGTGCATACCCAAACATCATGTTAGCTGAGGAATAGTCCTAAAATCTAGAGATTGGATTCTGGGCCTCGGCATAACGCCTAACAGCCACAGTGCTGTCTGATGTATCGATATATGCAAATTTTAGCTGAAGAGCAATTTGCTGTACTAACCTACTATGGATATTCACTGGGTTTTATTGGTTCTGAAAGAACTAATCATAAATCTCTTTAATATTTAAGAAACAGAAAGTGATCCAGCAACAAGATGCAGCCCCATATCTGGGAGAGTTTTACACTAAAGATGTACCCACCATCAGAAAGGTCATCATCAGGTACAACGAGGGAAGAATGAGTTTTTCCGTGGACACACTAGTTTTCCGTCTAAATCACATCAAAGGAACGACCTTTGAACTAATTGACCGAAGAAAGGTCGATTGTCTTGCGATTGCAGTAATGGGAATAAATCACGAGAAGGTGCACTTTGACCCTCCAGGAAGTTCGCCCGACAGAATTTCACCTGGCTTTACGGTATTTGGGTTCCATCTTCGAGGCAAGGCATATTTCTATAGAAAACAGTTATGATATGGTTTCACCCCCATCCTTGCGGACGCCGTGAGGAAAAGATTGATTTCAAATACTTTCCCTTTTTCATTCCTCAGTACCGACTTATTACAGGCCTATAGTCGTTTCTACGCTCGCAACTGTGATCGTGCTCGCGGGCAGCTCATTTTTAACAAAGTTGTCGTGCAATTGCTGCTTTGGTATAAATTCTTCACGCCATGGAAAACTGACAGTATTCAGTTGGCACGGAAGCAAAATATTTAACACTGATAGAGCGGAGATACTGATCGTGAAGCCGCGTTCAAGCGTTTTAGAGGGATTGCATGTGACAGATAAACTGAAAATAAGGTTTCAATTTTCTAGGCCTGACTACGGAGGTCTTTGGGTGCACTTGATCATCCATTCCATATTACGATGGAGGAAAAATCTATAATCAGAGATCCTAAAATACTTACAGATAATAATAAAATGTTGGTAGAGAACCAGATTCGTTGATGAAGAGGAGGAATGACCCTTAGGCTAAACGGGACTTTGTAAATCGAGTCGTACAAAATACAAATACATATTTCCTCAGGAGTACGTTAGAGCCGATAAGAGTTAAATAAGGGGCAAGTCATCGATTTAAAAGTTAGAGACCATAACCTACGTGGTATAAAATCTTAGATGAGCGCTTTTCCCTTCAAATGTGGCATGGGGCAAAAACCACTTTAAGCCGGTGACGATTATTCCGAGAAGGAAAAGTTTTTTTGAAGGTGTATCACAAGGAAAGTCCTAGTATAGTCTTGTGAAGGGCAAGTCCACCCCGAAAACCGCACAGTTTTTCAATTATGACATTTACTGTGTGTTAGATTCCAAAAAGTAACCTAACATTTCAAATATTATCTTCAAGTTTGCTAATAATTGACTGAAGACGTCATTTTGAATTGTGCTTAACAGCCTTGTCATTATCTCTGAGATTTCAAAGTTTCAATTCTTTTCTTATTTTTGACATCTGTTTCAACAATTAGGTTAGGAGCCTTAATAAGAGGACTTATTGACTCAAATAATATAATTTTCCCCTGATAACCGAGCAGAAGCTGTTTGTGACCTGTTCGCCGCAGTTTTGCTCGTGAGGATACGTTACTAAGATGTTTCAAAATGGCGGCGTCCATTTTTAACATTTATACACAAACTGTGTTTTATGGTACCAGTACTAAAGACACAGATTCAGCTCATTATAAAAGAATGCAAATAATCACTTCGCCTACGAGAACGTGTACATCTAGCATAACTGAATGCTGTAACCCCAAAGAAACTTTCTCAAAGATTATAGTATTGTTAAGTGAAGACGAGGGAAAGTTTTTATCTTCCAGGTCATGATATGAAAACAAGTTTCTCACCTCGTATTCTCGGTCCGTGTAAAGATGACAAAAAAAGTGTTCTAATTTTTGAAACGGCTTGAGAAGCAGCCTCTTCTCGAAAAATGAGTTGCGTTTCTTCTCGGGAAAATCAAAGACCTCACTTTGAAGAGAAGGGCAAACATTGAATGCGATTGGCGGTTGAGGGAAGGTCGAGACAGGAAGAAGTGTTTCTGTTATTATTCCATCCAAAATTTAAGCTTTCTCCAATAGGGAATTTCCAAACGTTTTCCCGTCCCTCCACCCAATACCTAAACCTTTTTGGCCAATGTGGCGGTCCGCTCATGTTACGATTTGGGTTCTATTCTTCGCTTAGTATTTGTACATCCGGGTTCAATAACAAGACGTCGAAAAAATATGTCTTATAGAGGGTTTTGACAATAGTCACAAAGGCTTTTTTATGTCAGTTTTTTATTTAAAATTGCTTTCTCTGTACTCGAAACCAAACTACTCGGTTGGAAAGCCCTACTTCAACATTTCGATCTATATGTAAGCTTGGAGGAAAAATTTACAACAAACATAGGGGAAGGACTCTTTTAAAAATTCTTCATCATTTCCTTCTTACTTGTCGACGAAACCCAAAACACTTGCAAAGACACTGATGGCGCTTTAATCATTGTTTGGGAACGACGAAAGCGAGAGAAGCCCGAAGTAAGGCGAAGTTATGCATTATAATGACCGGGCGCCAACGAACGGCGGCGATTAGCGTGTGAAAACTGGCCATAGCCGACAGTCATTTTTGTCGTAAAGTAATTAACGACCTTTTCCGGCGCTCTGATAATAACTGTTAATCAGGGCTACCACAGTCCCGACAGGACTTCGTCAACCCTCTCCTAAGTCTAAACAGAGAGGGAACCAGACATTTCTTGACAGGTGAAAAAACTTACGGAGTTCAATAAAACACTGAATTCCGGCCTAACTGTACAAAAACAGCGGGCGCTGTTAATCTAACAAAGTCAGTAACATACTACGCATATGATTTCACGGTCCTTTCACAAAGGTTTGTTTTGTAATTAAGCAAGAATCCCATGCCCTAAAAACAAATCTTTCGTTACCACGATTAATGGTTTCGTCTTTCTCCCACGGGATTCAGCTCCGCAGTTTCCAGTCCGTTTCCCTGTTTATCTTGACGAAGGTATGCAAATGTTGAAATATGTCAAACTATGAACTGTTGGCGAAGCTCGCTTTAAACCACAGCTGTATGTGTTATTCACGCAGTTTTTTAATTTCACGTCGCTTCTTTTCGGTTGTTCTATGCTCACCTTGTTTTATTGATTACAAACGCTCGTAATTGACTTTAAAGGTCGATTAATTACAAAACACTTGCCCCGCCGACAGTCCAACTTCGTTCAGATAGCAGTTTCCGTCACTTTGAAAGCTTAGTATTTTCATGCATGTGCTAAAGCCAAAGCTAAAACACAACTTTCGCAGATCTGCTAACATCAATATTCACAACCTTTCTATATGCAAATAAGCATTATTATTTGTCAGCGAGAAAACTAAGGAAGATTATTCATTGTATCCCTACTTTGGATTAACATTGGCCTCACGACACGAAACAACACACCTGATATACTGTATAGATATACTGTAAACATATTGTAATTGTTTTTATCACGATAAGTCAAACGATATGATAATGATCAAAGTCTCTGAAACTTCAGGTCAAATACTGTTGTAGTGGAGACCGAAGAAATTCCATGATAAAAATATATTTTAAAGAAATCACTTATGCTTCCAACTAAAGCACAAGTTTGTAGATCCTTCTAGATTATAAAAAATCTCTCCGGAAAATTACAGTGTAGCATTTGTTAGAGTCAAATTGGTAAAAATCTCAGAGAAGAGTCATTCGCTGAAAATGAGCGATAACACTAGATTTTAAACTGACTGCGTCTCGTTCTTGATTTTCGGTTGTCTTCAAGGACTCGTGACGCCAAAAATTGCTTGGGAAGTTATAGTCTGAGATAATTTGTCCAAAATGTTTTATTTTTTCACTTCACACTAATATTTCTCAGTATCCAATAAGTTTTCGGTCCAGCCTGAAACGTTAGGTTATATTTCATTTTTCAGATAATTGTTATTGCTTGACAGGCAAAAATGCCTCATTTACTCGTCTATGTGAAGGGTTTGAAAAGAACTTATCGCAAGCTAAGTTCAACAAATACACCTTATGTTGTCGTGAGTCTGATATGTTCGAATGACGTCAGAATGTGGCAGGCATGCAGCTGACCGTCGCTAATGTTCTACCCACCTTTTGACATTTTTCGAGATATTTGTTATGTATGATAGAAGAGGCAAAATGCCGCTAATGGACGGTGACGTTATTCATGCGTCTCTCTTGTAATAGATCCTAGGCAAGAACCAATCAAAATCCGCACATAATTCAGCTTATTAAATAAAACGCTTTTTAACACGTTCTCAATCTTTAAGGAAATCTAGCACTTCTGATGGCGTTTTTGTTAGAAGCACCGTTTTTTAGCTTGAAGCACCTTTTTTAAGCAGTATCATGAAAAGCGCTGTTTCATTCGTGTGGGTTAAGGAACCACAAAATTTCAGCTGATATGCCAATAATTCCAATGGAAACGTTTTACAAAAACAGCGTGAAGGACTAGATAACAGTCCTTTTAATTCACTCAAATGTCTTTTCGAGAATAGTCTAAAAAACTTCTTAATGGCGTGCATTTGAAAGACAGAATTTTATGATGCATTGCGCATGCCCTGCAACTACTTTACTTAATCACTCAATTATCATATATCAAACGGAATGCAAGAATTTCAGTTGCATCTCGCACTCTTTTGAAACAGTTGTCACCGTCTTGGCTTGAATCGTCAAAGACGCATCCAAAATGGCGCTGCAAGGGATTTACTTCAGTTCGCCGAAGGTACAAAAGCAATACGACTCAGGTAAGTATGTCCGCGTGATGCTACGACCTTGCACCACAGGAATTCGAATTCTGATGTTTACAGTTCAGTTTTAGGAACACGGAATTCTTATTCTAGGTCTTTGGTGTTTTCCAATCATTGTGCGTCAGGCGACTTGGACGTAATGTTACAGTTGATATCCTACACACTATCTTTAGCTGTATCGTCCACAGGCGCTTTCAGAATTAGTCAGTCCGCTTTGAATATCAATCGTGTGTGGTCTTAATTTGTCACACTCTTGATTCACTCTTTGAATGAAATAATCGTTTGCAATAACGCGGTGCCGATTATCAAGCCAGTGTGTTCGTTGTTTCTTACAACACCAGTTTTACATTCGATACAGAAATGGAGACCAACATGTTACTTTCAAGAGCAATATTCCAAATCAAAGCGAGATAATTAGTTGAAAACTACGACATTGCATGATGATGTCTCGTTTCGTCAAACTCTCTATATTGAGGTGTTATCGGGTGTAAAGCCATTAACACATTTTATTAACGTTCAAATCGCTTTTCGAGACAGACTAATAAAGTCCGTTTTCCTCTCACTAATTTGATCTTTGTTTTACGCCAACTGAATTAAAAACAAAAGACGCTAAACTGTAATGTAGTTTTTGTTTCCCCGACAAACTCCTACGTGTTTCCGGTCTGTGTTTTAAGTTTACAAATCATTACTTTTTTTGTCTTAAAGAATGCGTAGCACCTGAAAGATGGCCAAAAGGCTGTTAAAAATTTCTACTGACAAATTCTAATAGAAGTTATTCTTCCAAAATCGTTCAACTGGAAAAGGTTTGACCTATGAAGAACTAAAAACAAGTGAGCTAAACAATGCATGACGACATTTAAATCAGATATCTTTGAAAGCATCACTAGTTGTTTTTACCGATAATTGTCCGTTGAGTAATGACTTGAGAGTTTGTCATCAAACTGGTATCAGTTGTTGTTCACACCGCTACACAGACCCAGGAGAACATGTTAGATCCGAGGGTAAATAAAATAAAGTCATCTAGTTGTTGATTAAAGTGTTATCAGAACGTGATAAAAATATTCCGCTAGCGATATCAACTGACGTCATAAAATCATTCAAAGGGAGAAAGGAATTGATAAGAATAACAGAAACTGCGAATAACTTAACTTAACTGCTTTTGAATTTGTGGAGTCAAAATACCACAAAAATAGAAGATCGCAACAAATATACAACTGCGAACGACTTGATCACGCGAAAATCTACTCTTCAAAACTGGTTTACGCAGACTGCAAAATAGACTCTGGGAAAAAAGTTTGTGTTGAACAGGAGGCAAAAATAAAAATTAAACAGAGTTCATGTTGCCGTGCGTTTGTTTAGTAGATAAATCACGCAAGGCGTCAAGATGTGGCAAGGACAAAAAAGTGGCACATTGGTGTTTCACCGATGTTGTTGCCACATTTTGATACCTTCTTTGATCATTACTGAACAGACGCACTACAATATGGATCTATTTGTCTTTTTGCCGGATTAATATTCTTTTAGTTTAAATTTAAAGTAGCCCTTCTGGCCTCGCTTGAGATAATGTATTCTTTTGAATTCGATAACGAGGCCAGAAGGGATAATTTAAATTTAAACAAAAGAATATTAGTCCAGCAGCCATTTATGAAAGGGGTCTATGGTGACGTTAGATCACAAGTAGGAACCAATCAAAATTCGTGTATAATTTAGCTTATATAATTAACAAATAGATTCCATATTGCCGTGCGTTTGTTTAGTTACAGTTCAAAGAAGAAAAGTGGTAAGAACAGAAAAGTACGTAGCGCTTGAGGCGCAGCCGAGAGCGTCATTAATGTTCTTACCACAAATTGACGTCTTTTGTTATTTGTTACCGTCAAGATCCACGGTAACGTGGAATCTATGTGTTTTTATAATGAAAAAGCAAAATGTTGTCGATGGTGACGTCATCTACGTGTTTGTCCTCCAGTAGATGATAATATCAGTAAGAATCGATCAAACTTCGTGTGTTATGCAAAATTGACCAAGTTTAAGCAACTCAAACATTTGTTGATACAGGCGCCCGGATATTTGAGCGGTTGCTTCACGGGTTGATTTCATAGCAAGAAGTAAGAAAGTTTGCCTTTCCAAGGATTTCAGATTTTATCTTTAGTTCAGATGACAAAGTGCGATTAAAAATTGAACATTTCTCCTGCAAGTCGGCGCAAGTCAAACATCACTCCAATTCATTAAGTAATAGTTGTTTGATTGAATTTCCGACCAAAAACCTCGTTCATAAACTATGTTTCTGCATCAATATCCCAATTCTTTCCCAAGTTAATTCCCAAACTTCCTACAATTCGAGTTGCGATGCTACGCTGCGTTCCCGATTCTCCTGCAAACTGTTTGACAGAGTTTCCCGAAGTCTATTTCATAGCAGAAGGCCTTTCGTTTCAAGAGAGTAACTCACGAGTAACTCAGTGGAAGAGTGGGGAAAGAAAGAAACTCTCCGCAAAGTAGACGATGAACAAGCGGATATTAGAGGGAAGGCCGGGTATTTAAATGCTTGGATTGCTAATATCTATGATATTTTCCTTCAGCCACTAAACATCCTAAGGGAATTATGAATGATGCTTACGACCATCCAGAGGGACCACAAACTCCTTCGTTCGGTGGGAGTTACGCTCCCCGTGATGACAGACCTTCGGCTGCGTACTCATATCAGGAGAATGGGACGAGTAGACCCCATTTGCCGTCAAGTTCCAGCACACTTGGGTTTACCCCTCCCAAGGAGCAGAAACGCAAGAATCGATGCGGTGCAAAGTGTATACTGATCCCATTGTTGGTGCTTTTCATCATTCTGTTCTTGGTGATGGTAGTCTTATACTTCAAGAGGGATTCCTCGAGTGAAAAAGAGAACGTGAATGGGAACAACCCAACAGATTCTGAAGTGGTAAATAATTAAACTAGCATACAAGATTGTGCCACTCAACAAGAAAAATCGTCCAATAAAATAAGGGCTAGCAAAGGTGAAGGCAAACCAATCTTACAAGCCTGTCCATCTCATTAAAGCTTGTTCTTATCAGTCTCGTACCTAGACCTCTCAAGGCCAAGCGGTTACAAGTACACGGTGGGATCTGGGTACGAGAGTAAGAGTGAAAAGGAGTGTCACTATTTCCTCCAAGACCAGGAGGTCAGGCCGTTGTAAGGCTGCCGCATCCTTACCTTCCGGCATTTCATTTGGTCTAAGTTTAATTTTTTTACGGTAACCTTTTTATACTCCTGGAGAGGAGTAGCGAAATAGAACGGGGTCTTAGGGCGCTTCTCGCTGGAATGTCGTAAAAACCAAAACGTCAATATGATGACGGCGGCCAAACTACCGGAACTGCGGGAAAGCGCGGGAAAACGCGGGTGACCAAGGTGCGGTGGTTAGTTTTGCGCCTGATTGGTTATGAGAATGGCGTGAATTTTTTCTGGACCAATCACAGAGAAAAACTAATATAATCCTGGATTATATTTGATACTCCGATTGAAAATAGCTCTGACCTTTTGAAAACAATATGGAGCCCTGGGCCAGTCCTTCAATCAAGAGTCCAGCGCATGTCCTATAAGTTATCCCTCCCCCCTTAAGATAAACCTCCCTGTATAATCCTTTATAAGAAATTTTTCCTCTTCCTTTCCCCTTCCCCCCCCCTCCTAGCTGGGTTGTTCTCATGTTAAAATCTGACCGGACCATTTCAAACCACCAGTCTTCTCTTCTAAGAATTAATTTTCTTATTTCAGAAACAAACTCCATCTCCTCCATGCCTGTCAATCCCAAAACCTGTGCCATTTGCAACGCTACCGGAACGGCTTAAAACAGAACTGAAGCAACTGGAAGCTTTGATTATTAAGCAAGTCGAACTTGGGGGGCCGGTAGGTATCTCGTGTTTTGGTTTCTAACTCACATGCATTTTCTAAAACCAGTACAGTGCAATTTAGTTCTAGGAAATATTCGCTGATGTCCTATTTTGTCCTTTTCAGATGGCCGTAACAAGCAATATCGTGTACATGAACAAGGTGATCTGGGAAGGCGAATATGGAGTAATGAATAATTCGGAGACTCCTAAAAGAAAGCCTTCAGTCACTGCTATTTTACCCTTGGCGAGTGTTTCAAAGGTGCTAACGGTAAGAAAATCCAAATTACGGGCAACGAAAAAGCCAGTGACAAAGTTGTTATCCCCACTTGGCTATTACTAAACCATAATCCAACCCTACATGTCTAAAGAAAGCACAGGTCCGCATTGGCGTACTCGCATCGTTTAAGAGAAAAAGCTGTCATATAAGAAGCTTGAGAAGGCTTTATTTATTGGCTCATTTTTGAACGTAGGTTAACTGCCTTCTCGATGAAAATAATCTTTCTGTTTCAAAGTGACAATTTTTATACCTTGCCACTAATCATGACATAATTTGGTTGCAATGGGAGATAATTGGACTTCGCAGAAATGAATTATTCTCATTTACCCTTTTCGTTCCCTCTAATCCCCCGTATTTATGTTTGCAATTTGCCGTGAAACTGTTAATGACGACAGTTTGTTTTCTTTCCGCCTCAAGGTGGTTTGGGAAGGCGGCCGCTTACACCTCAGAGAACTTAAGCTTTTAAGTCTAAACGGTTTTCCTTCCATACGTACAGCGTACAGTTTTACATAAATAGCCACGAACACACGAGCAGGGTTATCAAAATATTTGCCACTTTTCAACACTGCAGGTATTGATGTTGTTTAAGCTGCACAATGATGGCTTTGTCAATTCATTGGACGACCCCGTCAACAAATATCAAAGTGATTTTTCGGTAAAAAATCCTTTCGGAAACGATCCCATTACGCTAAGGTAGGAATTTAATCGTAATCTTATACGCATCCAAGAAAATATTCCTCCTCACTCCATTCTGTTTAGGTATCACGTCAAGAGATATCTCCTCTATGCATATGCTGCGTACGCATTCACACAAAAGGATAGACTAGTGCGGCCCGTTCGCCCTTTCCAAACTTCCCTACCCCACCCTAACACAATCACAAAATGATTTCACGTTCCTTTTTTGTTTCGCCTTCATTTGACAGACAACTGGCGTCTCATCGTTCCGGTCTTCCTAGAGAGGCTCCCTGTTACCCGGAGACAAAATCAAACCTCTGTCCGCGTTCTAACGATCAGATGATACAGCGGCTCAAAAATGTGACCCTTTTGCGGGCGCCTGGCACAGAGCCGTATTACAGGTTTTTTTTTTCCAACTGATTTTGAATTCCCTGAATATTAATTTTTATGACCGCTTTCCCAAGATCTTATTCCAAAACAGCGATTATTCCATTCGTTCCATTTATTCCATATTTAATGTTTATTTTAGCTAACCCTTTTTGCCTCGATTGCCCCTTCAGAACTAAAAAGAATTCTTGGCTTTAAACGGGGCAACGGGAATAATTAACTTTAAAGAGCTAGCGACGAAAGAGAAACGTGTCTTTCACCATTTATGAATGCAATTGACGAACTACAGAGGCGCACTGCCTGATTCAGGTTTCGCTTGTCTGAAGTCACCAATTCCATCGAAGCTCTAAAGTGCATGTGCGTTATCTCGAGTTGTCTTCATGTAGGCTTGAAGAACCATTTGTAAAGCGCATAAAACGTTGTTTGGAAGGCATGTCATTTTTCACACGCTTTTCTAAAGCTTCCAAAGGATCATATTTTGCTTTTAATTGACAAATTTCATATGCATATGAAACTTTCTATGAAATAAGAGTGAAAACCGCGTGTGAAGACCCTTTATCTGTGATTTGTTTTCTTGTTTAGTAACCTCGGCGTTGCACTGCTCGGTCGAGTCCTGGGCGAGAGATTTGGAAATGGGGCTGGCTATGAGGGATGGATAAAGAACAATTTATTAGACTCCTTTGAAATGACAGACACATCTTTCGTCTTGGATGACAGGTATATTGTGGGCGTGTTTTTACCTTTTTCTCTAATTTGATTTGTGAGAGGAATAATGCCACCAAGCAAGTACCGGGATCGAACCCACAGGGCAGTGAAAGTCAAGGTTATTCCAGGAACAGCTGCAGGGAACACCTTCCTCTTTTTAAAACGCATGTTGGTTCATTTTACAAATTGATTTATTTTACTTTCAGCATAAAGAAACGTATACCAGTTGGTTATTTTAGGCCAACAGAATTCTCTAATATCAAAGAATGGGGATGGCTGAATCCAACTGGCGGAGTCTTTTCAACAGTAACTGACTTTGCAAAGGTAAAACGTTGC